AAATTCCTTGTGAAATTCGTCGGTTCATGCCTTAATTATTATCTAGCACTGCTCCGAAAGCAATGTGCAATATTAAACTGCAATTGCTGATATCATCAGTGCAAATTTATCTAAACATTTCTTAATCGCATTTTCTTTTCATATGATAGGAGAAAAATATATTTCTCCTATCATATCAATCAATTGTTTACATTATAGAAGATATATGAAATATTATGTCCTTTACCTTTGGCATAATCAATCTCTCATGGCCCGATCTTCAAAACTCCTGATCCAGGATTTGAGTGTCAAATCCAATTTGCTATCAACTGCTGTTATGCAATTAACATATCCGTCGCAAAGCCAATTTTGTGGGTCTTTCTGTACGTTGCTTCCTGCTATTTCTTGACCTGCTCCTGTCCTGATGAGATTTGGAGACTATGGCTACTTTATAAAGATTGTTTGACCTCAGAGTGTCGAAGCCAAACGAAGATCCTCTCCATAGACCGGATAAGCTCGACATTTTCGCCTGTTGACGTAATGGAGCCAGGATAGACGGTTTTTGCGACGGATTGTCTTCTGATTCTCCCTATCACTCTGCAAGAAAAGAAAAATAATAAAAAAATTTGAACTTCAACAAATTTAAATTATATCAAGATTCAATTTCCACTCACCAAGAAGAACTCGATCTGACAACTCTCCTCATCAAGCCTCTTAGTCTTACTTTCCTTACTCCTGCCACTGTTTTTGGACGGGCTCATCTGCCTCACTTGCTGCACCAGAGCTGCTGTTAAAATTGCAGAACTGTGTTCATTTTTAGTATCATTTCTATTTGGGGTACCACCATTGTTAACAGCTGATGGACTGGTAGTGCAACCTGATGCCAAACCATTGTTGGGAGTTGTGTTGTTCGGTGACTGGTTTGATGAATCAGGAGAAGACTGGAATAGAAAGAATTGATAGAGTTAGTAATCTGTAGAAGTATATTGGAGCAACTAAGGAGTGATTAACACATATGTGACTTCAAACTAATGATTATTAGTTATTATGATTATTATTAGTTAAATAAAAACTTATAATTTAAAACACTTTAAAATTATGAAACAAAATCTTAATGTTTTATTTGACTGTTATTGTTAAAATACTTAATAATTAGTTAACCAAAAACTTATATTTCAAAAACACTTAAAAATTGTGATACAAAATATTTCCTTCATAAAAATACCTAAAAATTTGTAAAAGAAAAAAAAATGTAAAAATATTTAACAATAATAATAAAAATGATAATGATAATATTATTATTATTAATAATAATAATAATAATAATTACAATAATATAAAACACTTAAATTTGTTAAAATATCATAAAATAACCTAAAATTTGTTAATATTGTAAAAGTATTTTAAAGCTTATTAAAATACTTATTAAATTTTTAAAAAATACTTGCAACAAACAAACTAGTTATATTTAAAAATAATTATAAGTAACTAAATATAAATAAGTTTATAGTAAATAAATTAAGTAATAAAATAGCTAATAATTAATTAAATTATATTAAACCTATAAAATATTGACTTAAGCCTTATTATAATATTAAATATTATACCGACGGCTTGTAAAATTAATAAATAAATAAATAAATAAATATAAATATTGCAAAATAAGAATTTCCCAAAATACAAACAAATTGTTGATAAAAATAAAATTAGGTAATGAAGATAATAATTATACACACCTGGTGTAATCTCACTGTTCCTCGAATGTGATTTAGATAAATTTTTCCAGCTAAAAGAATCAATTATTAATTAGATTGAAAATAAATGATAAATAAAATTAATGAATAAAATAATACATGTTCCAAAAGTAATTTATAAATGCATCATTATTTACCATTTTTTCTTTTTGCAAGTTTTACTGCTGCAGCAATTCCTGACAAGTGCTCTTCTAAAATAAATAAATAAAAATTAATATTAACTAAAATGTAATCAATGTAATGAAAATATCGAAGAAGCTCTAATATATATATTATATAGATTAAAATAATAATTTTAATAATAATAATTTGATTTACCTCTAAGTATTCTGTTGTCTATTGGTTCATCTGCAACAAGAAACCAAAAAAATTACAGAAATACACCTAAGTTACGTTGCATCATCACATATTATTTTATTACAAAATAAATATTAATTTTTGTTTCATTTATCTTACCTTTATCCTGTTTGATCATCTTAACAGCCGGACTGGTGCCAACAGCAACAGTTTCATTATGAACAATTTGTTTCTCTAATCTCTCCTGGTGCGCCCTCTGCAAAACCCTAAAAAATAGCCTGTAAGGAGCAGCAGGAGCTTTTATTTCGGCCGGCTGCTGTGTTGGCATTGGCATCTCTTCTATAAGTTTCCTGGGAGTGCAAAGTCTGGACATTCGGTGGGCTACAAAAGCTGATATGGTGGTCTCGTTGGATAGCAGGGACATGTTTATGCTGCAGAGATCGACTTGCTGGAAATAGAAATATGAAATAGAATACTAAATGGACTTATACTAATGATGAAAATATAAAGTCTTAGTAAATTAATTAAGAGGTTCTACAAAGCTGAAACAACAATGAATAAAATTTTTAGTAATGTATTTATTAATTAAATATTATTATTATTATTAACTTCCCGAAGGAGAAGTTTATGTTTTCATCAAAAAATCCGAATGGCTAATTTTATGTTTTCTCGACGTTTCAAGCCATTCTGAATCGAATGAGACCAAATTTGGAAAAAGTATGTGTGTGTGTGTGTGTGTGTGTGTGTGTGTGAACAGATTTTTTGCCGTAAATCGACGTTTTCTCCAAAACGGGCTGGAGCGATTTAAAATTTAAAAGCCATTTGATGTATCTCGATGAGGACTATCGTCTCTGAGTTTTGTGCGGCGATCGGCCGGGCCGGTTTTCTTTGTAAATTGCAGAAAAGTGAAAATTTTTTCGCCCACGTTTTAGCCCGCAATTCTGAATCGATTCTGAAAATTCAAAAACCATTCGATAGATATTGGTTGGGAATCGTGCTGATTAGTTTTTGGTAAAGATTGGCCGGGCCGTTTTCTTATAATAACGTTTTTAAAAAAAAAAAATTTCGACGATTTTTATGATTTTTTTTGACGGTAGATACCATAGTTTTCTAGGTCATACTAACTATTACGGCCCTACGACAACTCGTTTAGCTTTAAAAATTCGTCAAAGTTTGCAAAAATTGGTATAGTTTTTTTGACATTTGTCAAAATTAGACTTTTGATCGACGTTTTCTCAAAAGCGCCTGAACCGATTTCAGAAATTTAAAAACCATTTGATGTATTTCGGGGAAGACTATCGTTTGTCAGTTTTGTGCGACGATCAGCCAAGCCGTTTCTTTGTAATTTGAAAAAAAGTGTTAAACTTTTCGTCCACATTTAAGCTCATCCTACCGAACCAATTTTAAAAAATCAAAAACTGTTCGAAAGATATTAGTTGGGAATGATACTGATTAGTTTTAGGTGAAAATCTACCGAGCCGTTTTCTTGTAATTAACCGTTGAAAAAAAAATTTAAGCCGATTTTTTAACTTCCCGTAGGGCAAGTTATAGTAATCGCAAAAAAATCGAAAATGAAAATTTTTATATATCTTTACGTTTCAAAGGTTTCTGAACATTTTGGCATACCTTAGGAAAAATGGATGTATGTGTGTGTGTGTGTGTGTGTATGTATGTATGTATGTATGTATGTATGTGCGTGTGTGTATGTATGTGCGGATACAAATTTTCGTCGACGATTTCGGGAACACGGATCAACCGATTTGAATAATTCAAAAAACATTCGATTCGTATTGATAAGGAGACGTGCTGATTAGTTTTTGGCGAAGGCAGGTCTAGCCGTTCCGAAGATACGGGGCAAAAAGTGCCGAAAACGGTAACTCAGTTTTTAAGAGAACGGAGCGTCCGATTTGAATAATTCAAAAAACATTTCACTTGTATTGACAAGGTGAAGAAGCGATAAAATTTTCATGAAGGTAGGTCTAGCGGTTTCGGAGATATGGAGAAAAAGTAAAAAAATGAGCCATTTGGCGGTCAAAAATGATCATTAGACATGCACCTCAAATTATCATATCAGATATTTTATAGAGATTTAAACAATAAGTATACATTTTGTTAACATTTCTATGGGTTCCGTACAAATGCTTATGCGTTAGACAGCGACGCGGCGCTTACGCGCTTTATATTTTGTCCCTATGCAGTTAAAGCAGTACGATTGCTTTCGAAAAATTTCAGATCTTCTACAATATGTCAAAATACAGAAAAAAAAAATTTTTTTCAAAAAAAAAAATGTTTTTTAAAAAAAAATTTTTTTTTTTCAAGAAAAGTTATTTTTTGTCCAATTTATAGTTTCTCAAAAATATTATTCTTTCAAAGTAATTTTTTTTCAAAAATGTTAATTGTTTTTAAAAAATAATAATTTTTGGTACGGGAAGTTCCAGCAATTTGCCTAAGGCACGATGCCTTAATTGCTTAAGACAGAATTCCACTTACAGCTAGTTTTTAAGATATATACCATGGTCTTATAGAACTTACTGAAATTTACGCCTTAAGACAAATAGTTTGATTTTAAAAATTCATCAAAGTTTGAGAAAATGAGTAGCTCTTTTGACATTTGTTAAATTAAATTAGACTATTTACTTGGTATAATTGATAGAGTACTTGGTCTTGAACATAATAAATCATTAAAGTCCTGAAAACTGGTTCAATTATAAAAATTATTGATTTTTGAAAATTTGCTTTTAGAAAATACTCCGAGTTCGTTCGTTTTCAATTATGTGTAATAAATCCACTCGGAATACTTTTAATGACTCATAAATTAATTTATTTTTTATTGATTAAGTCGATTATTTAAATATATCGGGAAGTTCATGTAACTTGCCTCAAGGCTAAATACCAAACCAACTAGTTGAATTAAATTTTACTTAATTTTGTTCTCTGAATGATAAATAAAGATGTATTTATTATAGTGATTCAGCACCCATTTGTTTGATAAATCCATAAACAAATGGTTGGTAATTGTCTCACCGATTACTATTCCTTTCTTTAAATAAATAAATATCTCTAAAATATATAATTGCATTTGGAGATATGGATCTGAAAGGATTTACTAAATAATTTTTAAATGTTCGAATTATTTTCTTAACCAGATAACAAATAACATCAAATTAATCTTGTAGAATTACTTTATGTTAAAAAAAATATAAATAAATAAATAAATATAAAAGAAAAAAAAATAAAGTAGGTTGTCTGAAAATGCCATAGATAGTCTGTAAATAGTTATAAATTATCTGAAAATAATAAAATTGTCTGGAATGTTGTAGATATTCTGAAAATGTTGTAAATAGTTGTAATAGTCTAAAATTGTTAAAGAATGTAGATGATCTGAACATGTAGAATGTAGATAGTCTGAAAATGCTGTTGTCAATTTAAAAATGTCGTTGATAGTTTGAATATGTTGTAATAGAATAAAATAGTTGTAATAGTCTAAAAATGTATAATGTAGATGGTCTGAAAATGTTGTAAATTGAATAAAATAGTTGTAACAGTCTAAAAATGTTGTAGAATGTAGACAGTCTAAAAATGTTGTAAATTGAATAAAATAGTTGTAATAGTCTACAAATGTTGTAGAATGTAGACAGTCTAAAAATGTTGTAAATTGAATAAAATAGTTCTAATAGTCTAAAAATGTATAATGTAGATGGTCTGAAAATGTTGTAAATTGAATAAAATAGTTGTAATAGTCTAAAAATGTGGAAGAATGTAGATAGTCTGAAAATGTAGAATGTAGATAGTCTGAAAATGTTGTTGTCAGTTTAAAAATGTTGTTGATAGTTTGAAATTGGATAAAACAGTTGTAAATTATCTGAAAATATAGTTAATTTCCAGAAAATATAGTTAATTATCTAAAAATATATTAGATACTATAAAACTGTAAAACAGATATTTTAAGAGGGTCTAAAAATGTATTCAATTTCTAAAAATGTAGTGGATAATCTAAAAATAATCTAAAAATAAAGTAGATAGTCTAAGAATGTTGTAAATCGAATGAAAATGTGAGATTGTCTACAAATATTATAAATTGTCTGAAAATGTTGTAAACAATCTAAAAATGTTGTAGGTAGTCTAAAAATTGTGTGAATAGTCTAATAATGATGTAGATTGTTTGAAAATTGTGTGAATAATCTGTAAACGTTCTAAATTGTATAAAAAATTTGTCTGAAAATGGTGTATGCAAATAATCTAAGAAATCTGAATGTTATAAATTGTAAATATAATATTTCTATCTGTCCAGGCTAGTCCTCCCTAGTTGAGGTCTCAATGTAAAAAAAATATGTGTAATAATTAAATAATTAGGCTTTTTATTTAATTAGCCAAAAAAAAATTACTGCATCAACCCACAAAAATATGCTAAATAGGTATAATAAATTTTAGAATGTATTTTGTAAAAAATATTTTTATTATTACTCACATTCATTGGATCATATTCCAAAGCACCATAGACCAAAGAGGGTATCCTGATGACTAAACCAGGCATCAGAAACGGAGATATAGTCGGTCTGGTTTCAAACAAATTTGGATGGTTACACACCTTCCGAAGTTGCATCAAAACGTTTATAACAGACAGCAAATTTCCTGAAGCCAATGTTTCTTTCGTCCTGAAAAAGAAAATATTAAAATAAATATAGATAATAAGAAGAATAATAAAAATAATAGTGTTAAGTTAAAAATACTAACTT